GAATATTGAGATTTCCTCATCCATTTTATTTAAAGATTTTCAAAAAAAAAGCCATCCAGCTATTGGATACCCCCATTTATGGAGTTTCCCCACCCCAGATCCTGTGATCTTCTCCCCCCGTCCCCTCTTTTCTCGTGTCGAAAGACGGGACATCCCTTCCTTCGGCAGGCTGTCCCGCGGAGAGCGTTTGCGAAACGTCGGCGGATCTTGCCAGCCTGGCCGTCAGAGATGGTTACAACAGAACAACTTATCTAAGGTTATAACTACGTACAACTATAACCCATAACCAATCAGTTTATAACCTTGAATTGATAGTTTGCAACCTTATATGGTTGATGACTTATCTATAAAAAATGAATATAATCTCTTAGAGGTAACATGCTAGAACTTTCTTAATTAAGAAAAAACTATCAAAAGATGGCTGTAACATGTTGTAACATAGTCATAGCTCTACTTCTTTATTAAACAATGTATATAAATGGGAAACTCATCGAACTAAATGACAAATTTTCGTGTATGACTCTGTTCCAAATGTTGAGCACATTGAGCACCCCTTGGAATCTTCCCTTGTGAGGCAACCTGATGGGTTTGTCGGTCCTGCATCCATTTCCTCTCTGTCTCCATCCTGCGGATGCCGGAGCCCACAACGGCAAGTAGTTCATAATACAGATCGGTGTTGGAGAAAGTCCTTGGATTCCGAAGTTGTATGATGTAGTATGCAATTTCTTACTGGTTATTCATATGTATATGATATAATATTGTAACCCCCAAAAGGTAGAAACAACAAAAACTCAATAATTATCAGTGTGTCAGTAGGATTTCACTGTTCTATCTTTTTGGGTGTTGTTCTACTCCTCATTAACAATCCACATCACTATTTTACGATATCACTGTTGCTTTCAACTGTCTTGTACTGTGATGATCCTGGAGACGGTGACCACATGATCCCAAGGTTGTTATACTGTACTCCTTGATTTTAATACTAAACGTGAAGGATTCTACCAACCAGTGAATAGTCGGTTTATCCATTCATATTAGCATTTCAGTTGCTTGAACTCAGAAGTTTTCGTCTCTGCAAGCAGTTGCTGGCTAACTCCCCATTCACCCATCTTCGGTACAGTGTAAAAACAAGAAAAAATGCCCAGTCGATGTTCCCATTTCCAGCAACAAAACAACTTCTGAAAACCCTCCAAATACGAGATTTCAAAGGGTCCCAGCAAGGCTTTAAAAAAAAGGAACTTCTGGATGTAGCTCCAAACCCTGATCCAAAAGGTGATGTTTAGCTTTGAGGCTGGGTATGTTACCATGAAAATGGCAAACGAATTGTTCATCAAAACCTAGCTGTCACTTTCCCGTTTAGCGGTTTCCACCAGGATGAACTGGTGCACATGTGTATATATATATATATATACACACATATACACATGAATAAATAAATATATATACATACATACATACATACATACATATATATATATACATATATATATATATATGTATGTGTATATATGTATATAACATACTGGTAGTTATGAAACATGGGTTTGATATGGTCTGACGCTTACAATAAATGCTACCGTATAGCCGCCCCTCCAGTACGTATATATGGGGGGTTCCTAAAATGGGGGTACCCCAAAATGGATGGTCCATAATGGTTCAAAACCATCTATCAATGGATGAGGGGGTAGCCATGTTGCAAGAAAAAAACCTCCTCTCCCCCAGCCGCGCCTCGGCTTTCCCCTTCAGCGCGCCCTTCCGCAGCCGCTTCCGCATCTGCCGTGCTTGGGGCGACGCGTAGGTCTCGGCGCGGCTGAACCAGGCGGGGCCTGGCATCGAGGGCCCCGGTGGAGATAGACCGTGACCCTATATACGTGAGGACAATATATTATATTTATCATGATTGGGATGCATAATTAAATTTAAAACATATTTTAAACTTGCATATATATATATATATGTATATATATATATGTATATGTATATAATATGTACATGTTGAGTGTATAGTATTGTTTTAGCATTATTGATATTGTACACACATTAAAAAAAACAGTATATATATATATATCTATATAGATTCGCTACCATAGTTACAAAATTGTTTGTTATAATTAAAAAACCGTTTACTTGTGTAAATACTGCTTCTGAAGATGACATACATATAATATATATATATATCCAAAACTGTTTTTTATATGGATATTCCAATTCCAAGTCCAAAAGTAGGATTTACCCAGTTGGAATTGGACCACCTTCTAGGTCCCAAAAATCCAATCATTTTTTCCCGGTAGGAGTCGGCGTGCACCGTGGGCAAATTTGAAAAAACAAGTTTACAGTACGCAAGCTATACTTCACGTCAACTAACACGTCAACCAATTATTTAGTGGTATTGAATGGTATTGAATTGTTCAATGAACAGTTTTCGGATTATAAGGATTTAGACTCAATGAACACTAAGGGTTAGTATGAGTATTGACGCAGAGAATTTGGTTAACTTTGGTTTATGAGTCATATAACCATAGTTGATGTTTTTCAGATTGTCCTTTTCGAAAAATATAGGCGCTGCTTTGGTATATTACCCATTGTTGTTGAATGAGTGAATGCCCTCTTTTAATCAACCAACCAGGGGGGATGATCCCATGGATTAGGGTGCTGAAGTCAATGGTAGGGAACCAACAATGATGCTGCGGAACTTTTAGATGCCCTGAAACAAACAAGGTTGGGCCACCATTATTTCTGACCTTTGTCGAATATAATATATATATATATAAATATATAATTATATATACCGCTGGCCTGCCAGCGTGTCTGATTGGAAGGTGCTGTTTCTGTTCTGAGCTTGGCTTGTAGGTGTTCCTTTGTTCTATTGAAGCCTTTTTGCTTCGCCTGAATCGTGCCCGCCCCGCCCATTACTAGTACTAGTACTAGTACTATACTAGTAGTGGCACTAGTACTACCGCCACTAACACTACCACTACTATCACTACTACCACTACTACCACTACCACCACTACCACCACTACCACCACCACTACCACCACCACTACCACCACCACCACCACCATCACTACCACTGCAGAAGCCTGCCACTACCACTACCACTATCACTACTACTGCTGCTGCTACTACTGCTACCACTGCTACTGCTGCTGCTGCTACTACTTCTCCTGCTGCTACTATTAGTACTGCTGCTACTACTTCTGCTGCTGCTACTAGTGCTGGTATTATGACTACTACTACTACTGCTACTACTGCTGCTGCTAGGACTGCTGCCGCTGCTGCTACTGCTACTGCCACTGCAATGGTAGTGCTGCTACAGCTACTGCTCCTGCTACTTCTAATGCTACTGCTACTACTACTTCTGCTGCTACTTTTGCTGCTGCTGCTACTATTTTTACTGCTGCTGCTGCTGCCGCTGCTGCCGCTCCTACTCCTGCTCCTACTTCTACTCCTACTCTTACTCCTACTCCTCCTACTCCTGCCCCTCCTCCTACTCCTACTCCTACTACTTCTGTTTCTTCTACTGCTACTACAACTACCAATACCACTACCACTACCGCTACTACTACTACCACCACCACAACCACTACTACTACCACTACTACCACTACTACCACTACTACCACTACTACCACTACTACTACTGCTACTACTCCTACTACTACTACTACTACTACCACTACTACCACTACTACCACTACCACTACTACTGCTACTGCTACTGCTACTACTACTACACTACTACTACTACAACTACTACTACAAATACTACAACAACAACAACTACTACTACTACTACTACCACGACGACGACGACGACGACGACGACGACTACTACTACTACTACTACTACTACAGCTGCTACTACTACTACTAATACTACTACTACTACTAATACTACTACTACTACTACTAGTACTCTGCTACTACTACTACTACTGCTACTACTACTACTACTACTACTACTACGACTACGACTACGACGACTACGACGACTACGACGACGACTACTACTACTACTACTGCTGCTACTACTGCTACGACGTCACCACTGTGCCAGAGGCCAGCACGCCCAACTCGTCGCTGTGAGGTCTCTTGAACTTTTTGTTGGGGCTAAAGTCTTCCTCGCTTGGAGGCCTTCTTTCGAGGTTTGGACGGAAGCATCGCCGCGACGCTTCCTTGTTGCAAGCTATGCGAAGCTTGAACGCTCTTGCAAGATTGTCGACTCGAACCTACATGAGTCAAAACTATAGCGAAATCCCTGAAATACTGGTTGGTTAACGGAGATTCCCGGAATGAATTGTGGTAACACATCTAAGATCTAACACCAAATTCCCCAAGTACAATCATCAACCAACCGGGGATATTGAAACTGCTGACGTACCTCTCTCGTTTTGTCAACAGCAAGCCGCATCTCCAATCTTGGGTACTTCACTGCTGGATCATCCCACTTGTTATCCATGGCTATCCCATTCGCAACTGGGTTTTAACTAGTTATAACCCCAGATGCTAAGCAGTTACTAAGTGGGATGATCCTCGAAGTATTAGTTGGGTCTTGTATTCCTCCAAGTTCAGCTAAGCATAAACCCATTGACCTCGTCTTTCGTGGGTAATGTGGAGCACCACATACTTGGGGGCACTGGACACAGGAATCCCAAATGAGTATTAAGCATATAAAACAACTGACTTATAATATGTATATGCGTATATGTATTATATATGTAATGTTTATATACATTCAAAATATATTACAGAACATCCTCAACATGTATGCATATGTAAATATATATATATATATATACATGGGGATATATATAATTACATGTCCTGGAGTAGTTTGGTCAGAGCGGTGGGTAAACTCCACACCCCATGCCTAGGTAGACTCCACTCTCGTCGTAGCCAGGGATTGACATGACAGACCTGAACCCAAGGACTCCCACGCAGCGGGAAAATCACTCCGCGTCGACCCTCCAAGTAAGGACCTCTTGAAACATGGGGATATATACTAATATATACTAATCATATACCCATGATTTTGGATGATTTTGGAACTTTGACCAAATTGTTATGGATACTTAGAGTCTGGAATGGAAATCATCACCATTTCATGGTGATTTCCATTGGTTTCCAAAATGTTTGACCATGTTTGACCCATTTAACGCATGAACATCACGACATGGGCCCCAAAAGACTTCAAGGCACGGAGGTTCCTCCGGCTCGCTGCGCTCCGTTTTTTCATTCCGCCCAGAGCTGCGACCTGCAGCATCGAAATGTCCAGGGGATGATTGGAGTTTATTGCTATATATCCCAGATGCTCCATGGTGCTCAAATATTTACCTACATAGAAACCTCCAAAATAGCACACATGTAGGCATATATTCCTTACATTGGAGCATATGGGTATGATATGTATATATGTATAATGTATAATATGTATAATGTGTATGATGGTTTTTACATGTTTGGAAATTGTGTTATGGTCACGGTTGTATAATGTTATTTTGTTATGGTAATTGTCGTTTGAACCATTGCAAAAGCATCTTTAAACATTGGGCTTGTTCGCAGTCAGAAGAACAATACTGGGGTTGTAAGCAGTAAAACGGGTTTCAAGGGGGACACAGCACAAGTGTCCAAAACAAATACAATTTTTCAGTTATAATATAACTTTGATCCTGGGCTGGCCTCTTTGTCTGTGAGGATCTAGAGCTATCTATAAAATTCGTAGAGCTATGAAAAAAAACTAGAGGTACTTTGCAAAACCCTAGAACTATTTAGAAAATCCTAGTGCTATTCTTAAAATTCTTAGATCTATTTATAACTCCAAGAGCTATTTATGAAATTCTTGAAGCTATGTATAAAAAATGAAAAGGTATTGACAAATTGTTTGCAGCCAAATATAAAATTCCTGGTACTGTTTTTAAAAATCACTAGAACTATTTATAAAATTCTCGAAGTTATTTATAACTTTCAGATAGTTGTTTACAGACATATACAATAGGTTCCAAAACTATTCACAACATGTTGGAAACGGATTCAAATTTCCGAACAAAGCATTGAGAAAAATCTGGAATGGGCATGGAAGTGGTTGCTGAGAAGTCAAGGGCATAAAAATCTGTTGCTGCATGTTCAGAAGATATCGTCGAAAATGTTATTGATATAATTTGCGCTGTTTTGTTCTATGAGATGCTTTAAAACTATGCAGGCTATACAAACTATACATAGCAGGTTTTGCATAACAGATAACTTATCCTCTACAACAAGGCAAACAGTGAACATATAATCAAGATGTTAAGATGTTGTTCTTGCTTTTTCACGAGCTGCTGCCAAAGATGATGACGGATGATGATGACACTGACAGCCAACCTGCAGTTCATGGGCATTTCAACTAAACCGTTGGCAACAACTACCCTACACATCACACGGATTTGAGTCCTCACTCTCCTCTCGAGTAGTCTTCGCCAGCTCATACACTCTATCCTGGGTCAAGACGACAGAAAACAACAACGAACAGCAACGAACCAAACATTCCTGCCTGTAAAAACCTCTTCAACATTCTACGTTCGTCAGCTGGTTCCTGACATAAGGCACAGTCCTTGCATGTAGCGGTTGACCTAGTGACTCTGATGCAACTTGCCTTCTTGCCACAGCCGAGGCAATGCTGCTGGTAATAAATCAGCCCGGAACATCCTGAAAAACGACAGCCACAATAACACACAGGCAAATTCACCACACACAAATCTGAGCCTTCTTCGTCACAGCGGCGATACCAATCGCCATTCACATCAGTGAACCACTCCGGCCAAACCACACTCAACCACCAACAAGCACATGCACCTGAACAAACAATCCCAGCAGTCCTCCCCGTCATCATCGGGCTTCGCAGCAACGGTTGGCTCCTCCGCCGCATACTCAACCACAAAGACTGCAACGCCTGCTTCCAAAACAATGGTGCAATAACACATTCAAAACATCATTGCCCTCTAAGCAGCCCTTTTGGGTTTCATCGGGCTTGTCACCAGCAGGTGCATCCTACGCCACCTACTCAACAACAAAGACTGCAACAGCTGCTTTCAAAACAGGGATACCATAACAAAATCAAAGCACCATACGTTCAGCAGCCAGCAGCTGCTTCCTGACATGGTTCTTGCATGTAACCGTTGCCTTGCCGTTTTCATCAGGCTTCGCAGCAACGGTTGGCTCCTCCGCCACATACTCAACCACAAAGACTGCAATGGCTGATTCCGAAACAATGGTGCAATAACACATTCAAAACACCATTGCCCTCGAAGCAGTCCTTCTGGGTTTCATCACGCTTGTCACCAGCAGGTTCATCCTATGCCACCTACTCAACAACAAAGACTGCAACAGCTGCTTTCAAAACAGGGATACCATAACAAAATCAAAGCACCATACGTTCAGCAGCCAGCAGCTGCTTCCTGACATAAAGCACGGTTCTTGCATGTAACCGTTGCCTTGCCGTTTTCATCAGGCTTCGCAGCAACGGTTGGCTCCTCCGCCACATACTCAACCACAAAGACTGCAATGGCTGCTTCCGAAACAATGGTGCAGTAACACATTCAAAACACCATTGCCCTCAAAGCGGTCCTTCTGGGTTTCGTCGGGCTTGTCACCAGCAGCTTCATCCTACGCCACATAATCAGCAACAAAGACCGCAACAGCTGCTTCCAAAACAGGAATACCATAACAAAATAAAAGCATCATACGCTCAGCAACTGCTTCCTGACATAAAGCACGGTTCTTGCATGTAACGGTTCACCTAGCGACTCTGATGCAACTTGCCTTCTTGCCACAGCCGACGCAATGCTGCTGGTAATTCATCAGTCCGGCACATCCTGAAGAACCACGGCCACATGTAAAACACAGCCAGATACAGCCTAATACAGCCCACACAGATCTGCACCTTCGTCGTCACAGCGGCGATACCAATCGCCATTCACATCAGTGAACCACCACGGCTACTCTTAACCACACACTCAACCGCCAGCAAGCACATGCATCCGAACAAACAATCCGCAGTCCTCGCCGTTTTCATCGGTGTCCGCGGCAACAGTTGGCTCCTCCGCCACATACGCACCAATAAAGACTGCGACGCCTGCTTCCAAAACAATGGTGCAATAACACATTCAAAACATCATTGCCCTCTAAGCAGTCAATCTGGGTTTTGTCGGGCTTGTCACCAGCAGCTTCATCCTACGCCACATAATCAACAATAAAGACTGCAACAGCTACTTCCAAAACACGGATGCGATAACAAATCCAAAGCATCACTCACTCCTTTATTGTTTTTTTCCTTCTGCAGCCTCTCCAGCCCGTCATCCTGTCGCTGTGGCAAAAGATGCCCAAAATAAAAGATTGCAAAAGCTTCTTCCATAACAAGGCATCATTAGCTCCTTATTTATTTTTTTCCTGTTCAATGGCCGCCGGCCCGGCCCATCATCCTTTGACTTCGCCATGGCAAGCTGTCTGACCCGACAGATGACCACAGCGAGACCATGTCGTTTTTTGCTGCGGATAGTTTGTCGTGGCTTGATGAGATTCAATCTTTTGGATGCGTTAGCTGTGCTGCAACTGCGTGGCTGCCAGTGTGCCGAAACTCCGCAGATCTTGCAGTTGTTCCCGACCCAAACCAAAAAGAAAACAGGAAAAAGAAAGAAAGCAAAGACATGGCAGACATTGAAACGCAGAGAACCCAAAAGCGTTTCCCATGCATGTCCCATTGCCCAGCGTTTGGTATCAATTTCACAAGTCTTAGCTTCACACACTCTAGCTTGGCCAACCAGGACTCGGAGGAAACCCTCAATCGCGCGTTGCACGGCGCTTGATGGGGAGCACGACGCGTTTGGAGGTGCACGGTGGCAATGGTGGCGGCGATGATGATGATGATGATGATGATGATGATGATGATGATGGCGATGGTGGTGATGATGATGATGATGGTGATGATGATGATGGTGGTGGTGATGATGATGTTGATGAAGATGATGCTGGTGAATGTTCATGATGATGATGATTGTTGATGGATTAAAATGGTTTTGATGATGATGACGACAGTGATGATGAGGATTCCTGTGATGATGGTGGTTATAGTCATGATGATGGTGATAGTGAAGGTTGATGGCGAAGGTGATTTTGGTGATGGCAGCGGCTGTGGTGTTGAGGGCGTAGCATGGCGAATAGCAAGCTCAAGCATGACTATTTCAAGGGCTCAGGACATAGCCTGGAAGGAAGTCATATTTTGTGACGTTCATTTCACCGCTTTAAGAATACAAGACAGGTTTCTGAAATATGTGGTAAGAATTTCCGAGAATGTACGCGGTAGCTCTTAAATTTTAGACAAGTTCCAAGACTTGTAGACACAGACACAGTTGTTAAAATTTGGTAACTTATGTATTAGGCCAACACAAATATCTAAGCTTAAAATATCTGGGCCCTATGAATTTTCAAATAGTTGTGAGCATTTGAAAAAAGTTGTTAGAGTTTTAGCAATAGTTGTGAGAAAAAATGACACAGTTCAACAGTTCTTGAATTTCAGAAAAGCGTTGTTTTTTATTTTTTTAAAAAACTGGTTTTGGCACGTTTACAAACTAGTTCTTCAGGATATGGAAATAGTATTGAAAATTGAGATACAATTTAATTATATTATGATTATTGAATGGTAGAAAATGTTGAAATTGTGAGGCAAATTTTACAAAATCGTTCTGATGCTTTTGGAAATAGCTCTGAGGATTTTCTCATTCTTTTAGGACTAGTTCTGACAAATTTAGAATTAGTTTTGAAACTTCTCGAAGAGATTTGATTTTTTAGAAATAGATTTGAATATTTTAGAAATAGCTGTGACATTTTTAAAAACAGATCTGACAATCTGAGAAATAGCTCTGACAATTTTTGAAATAGCTCTGACAATTTTAAAAACAGCTCTGATTTTTTTTAAAATAGCTCTGAAAATCTCACAGGAACCTATAAATAAAGAAGCCGGCGCAGCATCTAAGTTATAACTAGCTGCAACCTATGACTAGATATTTCAGCTGAACCCTGACCTCTATGCAGATGTGATCATAGCAACATCTTCATGGGAATGATGTAGCCCTCCTTCAAGGTGATTGTGGTTGATGCCGTGGTTGGTCACAAACCTGGGGCAAAGTAACCAGCCAGTGCAACCCAAGTCGTATGTTGTTTTTTTCAGGAAAGACTCCTAGAATCCAGTGGTTTGCCATCATGAGAAAAATCCCTCGTATCTTTTGATGGAAACAGTGAAACAGTCCCATATTGAAACATAGCAATGGAAAATCACCCATTTAAAACCTCCATCTTTCATGGGGATGTTCCACTTCTGTTGGTGCCTTCTCCCCCTTTCCACCTCTGCCACCACGCTTTCGGTGCTTTGGCGCTTGCGGCTTCATGGCACCATGGCGCGATCGAAACGTACCCCCAACAAATGGGACCAATGAAAAGCAACCCAGGGCGTTTGGGATGGGACAGGACTGTCTTAGATATATAATGATATAATGATATAATGATATATATATATATATATATATGTAGGTATCCAATCTGGAGTAGAAGATCGGCTCCTTCCATTGTACAACAGTGTCTTTGTTATCAGCCACCGTCTTTACCATTAGTAAAGTCTAATTCACGGGAAATTGTGATTAAAAGCACCGCATTTGCGTGTGCCAATGTTTAAACAGAGATCTATTATGTTTGGAAGTATGTTCATGTTTCGTAGAAGTTAGCTGTGTTCATCTATTTTCTAGGGCTGCTGTCTAAATGGAGTTGCTGAGATATTAAAAGTAATATGACCAGGCAATCCTTTCGGCAACAAAAGCAGGAAGAATGCCTTTCACATGAATCCAGGTCCAGGTTGAACCACTCCTAGCTGACCCACTTTGGGGAAAGCACCAGCAACTTTGGCTGGGTTTCTCTTCGGAGCGAGGCTCGAGGGTGTGCGCAACCCGCCTTCCCATATCCTCCCATCGCATCACGCTTGCACTGGGAGTGTTGTTGGGTTCCAAGTTTATTCAGGAATTTGGGAGTTCGCAAAAACTCGGACACCGAATGACACCGAGCAATCCACCAAAACGTTTGAGGAGGAAAGCCTCGATCTTTATGATTTTTCAATGATGATTCTGTTTCAGAACAAAAATCTTGCTCTCCACATTCACAATCCTCCACCTTTTTTGTTTCAAGCGGGCGCATGCAAATCGGCAGTTTCAATGAGCGGGGGCATTCGTGGTGAAACAGCACTGAATTCATTCAGTAGCTTTTACACTGGCGGGAAAGACGGTCAAGTGCCTACCTTGCTTCGGCGACACAATCTGTCCAAGTGCACGACATGGTAGGCATTCCTTCAAGGAGAAACACAACAGCAAAACCGGAGATATGATTGAATCCATCATTGTCCTCTAAAACAAGTTAAACAAGTGCTGAGTTCCCTTTGTTGGTGGTTTCAACCCCAAAACAAATAGTCAGTTGGGATGATTCTTCTCAATATATGGCAAAAAAAAAGAGTTCCAAACCACCAACCAGCTGAGTCATGAAACCATCAACCAGCTTTGATCTGCTGCAACATGCTGCAACGAGCTTTGAGAAACGCCCACCTTCAGAGATGCAAAGACCTGGCCACATAGCATCTTTTCGATGGAGAGGGACATTCCTAAAAAAGGGACACTCCTAGAACGTTCCGAACTTCATTCATGTTAATTCCAAATAATTCAAGTTCATTCCAAATAATATTCCATATATATATATATATATATGTCATTCCAAATCTTCATTTTTTCATTCATACTTTTTTAGGTTATGTTAAAGATGTACTTAAAGACATTTTGATAATTTCAACATGGTTTTCTGTTTCTTGTTGTTTTTTTCATGTGTTTGTCTGATTTTTTTGGATGTTTGTTTTTTTGGCCTGTTGATTTGCTGTTTTTTTCTTTAGAAAAACACATGTTTTTTGTGTACTATTTGTGTTGTGTTTTCGCTTGATTTTTGTTTGACTGTTTTTTTAAAGTATTAAATTGATTTTTTGTCATTCTCTGTTTTTGTTTGTGTTAATTTGTTCGTGGTTTTCTGTTTCTTGTTTTTTTTCCATTTATTTGTCTGATTTTTGTTGGATGTGTTTTTTTATGTTGATTTGTTGTTTTTTCTTTTGAAAAAACATTTTGTGTTTACTAGTTCTGTTGTGTCTTTTTTTCTTTGACTGTTTTTTAGTATTATTTTTATGTTTTGTCATGCTCTGTTTTAGTTTTTCTTAATTTGTTCGACCTTGTTTGATTCTTTTGGTTTTTTTTAACTTGTTTGTGTTTGTTTATTTGTTTTGAACTTCTATGTTTTTTCGTTTTCTTTTGGTATGTGTTTTTTTGTTTGTTTTGTTGATTTTTTAAATTGTTTTTGGATTGATTTGTTGGAAGGTGTGTTTTTGTTTTTTTGATATATTTTTTTGGAACTTTTTAGAATCTGTTTAAAAGGATTGAAACTTTTAGGAGTGGCCCTGTTAGGAGTAGCCCAGGGCTCTTTAATGATAGCAGTCTTGAGGGCGGAATCGAATATATAAAATCATGTAAGAATCTGCAAAATAATTCCTGGCCTCACTGGTCAAGGGTTCATTGCAATTGGTCAGCTTCGATCAACGACTGTAGCCGTTGGAGGTTGATGCATCTTGTTGCAATAATCAAGGATCACTGATTGTTGAGACGCTTGACTTAACCAGAACGCCAAAAGAACCTGAAACAGAGCTTTACCTGCAATATCAATCCCCAAAAATTATCCAGTAATGTAATGTAGTAGATAAACCAGCATCAGTCAAATGCAATGGAATTGGCTAATAACGCCAACCAGCGGCTGAACCATTCACTGGTCGAGGTTGGGATTCCAAGCTTGTGGGTCTTATGGCTTACGGTGACAAGACTCATAGCAATAATGAATCATTGTATCTCATATGGCAGTGTGTCAAAACCTTGTACCCCTGGTGAACATCAAAATAGCTGGTAAATGGATGTTCATTCCCCTAAAAATGGTATTAATAGGTATTGATCCATACCCATATTAGTGCGTCGCCAATCATTTTACACGCTGCGTCACGTTACTAGCTCCGTCATAAAAATGGGTCATTCTCAGGGTCTATCTTAGTTTGGGGAATGAAAATCAATAGCCCCAACATTTGGGGTATCCACCTTTTTTATCTTTCTGATGGGTGTGTAATACTCATATTTATATATATATCTATACACAATAGGTTATTATATTGGTATTTATATTTATATGTATCATGTATCATCATACACGTTGACGACTCCACACACGCGGCTTTAGCTGGAACTTTCCACGTTACCCGACCCTGGCACAAGTGGAACAACGACATCCCATGTTGGACTACTCCAAGGTATGGATTGCTAACCCAAAAATGGGAGAGATCACTGGAAGTACCATCGACAAAAATGGTGATAGATAGATAGATAGATGGATGGATGGATAGATTGATAGATAGCTAGGTAGATAGATAGGTAAGTAGGTAGGTAGATAGGTAGAGAGGTAGATAACTCAGCTTAGCTTCGCTTCAGCCGCTTCGGCTTAGTCTAAATTAGATTATTATATATGTATATGTATATACATTGTACACACATATACTACATAATATGATATCAGGATATCAACCAACAACAATGATATAGTATGATATGGTTGAGGACACCAAAAAGTGCCCTGTGTTTAGCTGGATACGAGCCTTTTTCCCCATAAAAATAGCCAAGCAACAGGGTTAAAAAGGAAGGTTTACTCAAACAATGCCTATGGTCAACGAAATCCCGCAAGACCTTTGCAAACTGGCAATCAGCATATTCAACATCCCATTGTGTGTTGTATCTTCCAGCGCAGACCCAACGTTTGCTATACCCTTTATCACCTTGCTCGCCTGCCATCTTTGTTGGACAAGGTGTTCATTGAATCCATGTATTGATTGAATCTGGATCCATACTGTGTCTTGACGCGCGTAGAAGCCATCCCAACTTGTACTCAATCATCATACGCTATGTGTCAGTCCAAGTTTCGTGATGAGATCAGTGGTTAAAACATGTTAAAACAACCTTTCTGTTTGGCTCTACCCCCAAACAATCCTCACTATCACCTACATTTCTCTCAAACATGTCCAGCGAAAGTGAATCATCATCTAAATAATATGGGTACCAGGTAAAAAGTATGGTACATGTTTTTCCATTTCCAGCTAAGAAACTCGGCAAAGTCTATAGTGTGTTTTGGATGCAAACCCATTACAGTAACCCAACTGGCAATATTCCATTCCAATTCCTGGGTGCTGTCAACCCTGAAAAATCTTTGCCAGTTGATAAATATAGGTTTGAACATACCAAATACATGAAACCGTTCAACTCGCCGTTATATGTATATGTATATATATATAAAGCATTTATAACCCATCTACCAAACTGATGATATTCCATGAATATGATTGGCTTATTTCATATGCTACCATTCCTGGGTGCCAGCCGAAAAGCCATAAAGTTGTCTCGCCTCACTCCGCAGCCTCCTCTCCCTGGAGGAGTCAAACCATCCCCCAGTCATCACCCATTTTTATGGGTGGGATGGTTACCATTAGTCGTGGGAAGTTTATGATATTGTTTTACTGTTTTACCCACATTATAAATAATATCATGGTAAATATTAATGTTTTACCCACAATATCATGGTAACATATGATATTATTTATATAATTCACCTTTCAGGTCAACTATTAGGAGAGCTACCCCGGAAACCTTCCAGTGTCGCTGCGAGGTCGTTATCCAGGACCATGGACCATTAAGGGTATGGATTGGTATGGCTCAAGGGGGACCCAGAAATTGTGGGATGCAATTGATAGTGGGGATATGGGATAGAATGAGGATAGAATAGACATGAATAGAATATGGTATCATATCCAACCAAATTAAACCGATCTTAGTTTTGACATGTTTTGACACCAAAACAACTGATAAATGAATGTTCATCTACTCATTCCGATTGTCCCGCAGCTATCACTCCATCCAAATGTGGGACTTTTAAGCGACTCGTTGACGGGGTCGCGGCTAGCTGACACTCGGGTATATCTGTTTCCTACTGGTCATTTCAGCAAAGATTCCAGTCGTTAGTTTCTGCTTTCATTAGTGGTACATTTGGGGGGGTTCCATAAATGGGGGTACCCCAAAAATGGATGGTTTATGTCATGGAAAATCCCAATCTATAAATGGATTGTTTCGGGGTAGCCCAATTTTAGGAAACCTCTGTTGTTTTTTTTGGTATTCGATCGTCAAAATTCATCCTTACATTGTGAAATGCGAAAAAAAACAACCTTAAATGGATCCATGATTCATTTCCATGGTTGTGCTGTCAAATTGCGCTTGTAGGATGTTTACATCTTGAAAAATGGAGAAATAATATGAAACAATGCAAAACAAATGGAATCCATGAAAAAATCAATGGTATTTCTCACGGATTTCGATGCCCCCTGTGGCCCCCCCTTTTTTGCGGTGGCACCCCATCGTCGTCGTCGCCGGTCAACAGCTCACCATCCAGGGTGGCGATCTTGGGCAAATGTTCCAGGACCTGGGGACCCGGGGGACCCTCTTGGTCAATGTTCATGACTGGGTTCAGAAAACCATCTCAACTGTTGATTTATGTGATTGGGTTTTAACAATCTAACATGGTGATTTGATGTTCTTATTGTTTTTTGTTTAATATGTTTTACCATCTAAAATGGTGATTGACGAGGGATTTATATAGATTGGATTTTAAATGTTAATGATGATTTGATGACCTTAGTGGTGAATCAATGGCTTAATACTACTTGGAGGATCATCCCACGAATCATGAGTGGTTAGGAATAACTAGGGTTTTAACTATCAATTTATAAATGGTATAATCCACTTAAAGACTTAGTAACCAGGGTTAGTAATTCTATCAATGGCCATTTCAGGTACCGATTTATTGCAGGTACCTACGATGTAGGTCTATGTAATGGGATGTGCCTCCAATTTCTATGGCTTTACATTTTACAGTGCCTCTATTTTGGGGTCCTGAAATTCCCATTGATTTTATGGTATTACATGTTTTTTTTGCATACAACCCACTTAACATGAGAAATGGGTGTCTCAAAACGTGGGGTTCCCATTACCATAACCCATGGGTCCATAAGTAGTTCAACCAGGATTTGTGGTGGATTTATCTATAGCCAATGGGGTTCATAAACCAACCTATACAACTGCGAGGGAACACCTTGTACCTCCTCAGGGCCTCAGGGGTATGGCTTTGGGGGGTTCAGGTTAATTACCTTCAGATAAGACATTTGGACAGAATTGATGAATTAATCATGAACAGAAAAACCGAGTACTTCAACGGGGTATTTAATTACTTTACTTCGTGTGATCCCCAACATGACATTTATACATTTTCTTACTGGCAAATCTTTTGGCATTCTATCTGACATATCTTCTGACATTCTATTTGACATTCTATCTGGCATATCTTCTGGCATATGATCTGGCATATCTTCTGGCATTCTATCTGGCATATCTTCTGGCATTCTATCTGGCATATCTTCTGGCACTCTATCTGACATATCTTCTGGCATTCTATCTGGCATATCTTCTGGCATTTATTCTGACATATCTTCTGGCATTCTATCTGACATATCTTCTGGCATATATTCTGACATATCTTCTGGCATATGGCATATCTTTGGCATATCTTCTGACATATCTATCTGGCATATCTTCTGGCATATTTTCTGGCATTCTATCTGGCAAATCTTCTGGCATTCTATCTGGCATTCTATCTGGCATATCTTCTGGCATATTATCTGGCATTCTATCTGGCATATCTTCTGGCATATATTCTGACATATCTTCTGGCATTCTATCTGGCATATCTTCTGGCATTCTATCTGGCATATCTTCTGGCATATCTTCTGACATTCTTTCTGACATTCTTTCTAACTTTCTTCTGCACATTCTTTGTCCCATATCTTCCTACATGAGGTCCGGCAGGGAACACTTGGAGTGGATACTCGCGGTTGAGGTCCGGCAGGGAACACTGGGCGTGGATGGTCGTGGTTGAGGTCCGGCAGGGAACACTGGGCGTGGATGGTCGTGGTTGAGGTCCGGCAGGGCACACTGACGTGTGGATGGTCGTGGTTGAGGTCCGGCAGGGCACACTGACATGGATCGCAGTGGAGCAGGAGGAGGACGAGGAGGACGAGGAGGAGGACGAGGAGGACGACGAGGAGGAGGACAACGAGAGGAGGAGGAGGAGAAGGAGGAGGACGAGGAGGACGAGGAGGACCAGGCAACTGACATAAAATCTAACAACCCTCACCTGGCAGGTGGGGAAAAACGGACATAAAATGGGTTATCGGGTTATCCCCATTGTTAGAATGATAATCACCAGGGACTTCACCAGCAGAGAAGCAAAACTCTCCATCCTCTCCCTCTGGATGTTCTACAGTGCATCACCGCTCCTGGGAGCTACTATAGCAACACCCCGAACAACTCATTTACCACTATTTCAGTAGGATCTTACTTTTCTAATTGTTTCTATCTTTTCAGGGTTGCTATTATTGAGTATGCGTAATATATATATAATATATATATATGTGTACAGTATATTATATTGGCTTATTAATGGCTTCCAATCATACAAATCATGCACTTAATGACCAAGACCCCGATTGCCTGTCTACACCGGCCCAAGCCGTCTCGGCCTTTGGTCGGGCTTGCTTCTTTGACAGGCCTGACAAAGGGGAACATTGAGGATCAACACATACCATCCAATTACAAAGTGCCCCCCGGCCCGAGTGTAAGGAACATGCCTAAACACGCATAAACCATCATAATCTTAAACCCATCCAACAAATTCAAGCTATAAATAGTCTATAAATACTTCGATCAGAAATCCAGGCTGACCCATAGTTACAAAACAACTTACCTCACTGTTGGGGGTCCGTATGTGTGTGAAGGTTCAAAACCCCCGTAATTCGCGATGTTTGATCATTCTTTTCAGGAATGCATCCACACCGGTGCGAATTGTACCGTGCACACTTGCTTTTGTTTAGGTCTGAATCTGGATCTATAACACCTCGGTTTGCCCAAAAGTGGAACATACGTACAGTGTTTCTTTTGAATACTATAATGAAATGGACCATGTTAGGGCATTTCCGGTAATGGTAATGTGTAAAAACAAAACCCGCCCACAATGTTAGAAGAAAGGGCGCAAAAAATCAGCCTTAATTGTTTCACAATTGGGTTTCCCGATTTTGTTGCCCAGATACCTATCGATTTGCTAAGCTGTCAAAATCATGCATATCCCTATGCCATCTTATAGTAGTTCGTTAGCAAAGATTCATGGATGGGTAATAATCCCCAGGTACCTATCGATTTTGGGTTTACCTGTTGAGTTAGCAATCCCCATCATTAATCAAACCCCTTTTTGTGCTAACTCAACAGAGGTATTACTAATCGAACATGGTACCATCCAGGAGGACCAGCAAACGAAAAATGTCGGCAGGTGAGCGCTGACCCATGTTTTATGCTCAATGTGTTGCATACCTCCTTGATTCCTTGGTCATAAATTTGGCATGACTCCAGGGTAAACTCACATAGATGTGGAAAAGCCATCATTTTGCAGATTCTTGTCCTAGTGAAACCATGGATTTTCCATATCTATGTCAATTTACCCTGGGGTAATACCAATCAATGTCTGACAAGGCTGTTAACCCTCAACATTACTTCATCCTGGTTAGGAAGTGGGTTATTATGTCTAGAAATTGCTAAGATTATGGTAACTACAGCCAGTACCCTTCAGCAATCAAACATCGCAATGTGAAATTCCCTATAATTGGGCATTTAATCATCTAAAAGTTGGAGATTTCCAGACAAAGAACAGAATAACCACATGTTATAGTTTGCGGCTGAACCAAAGTAGTCACAGTAAAAGAATCGTGTTGGTTGGTGCTTTCAAACACCAGAAAATACGAAAATTGTGGGGGTCAATCATCCCCAAACATTGTGAAATCATAAGAACATACCAACTCACCACTCCGACGCCGCGATTCCCAAGCTACGATACCTTCATAGATGGGGTTGCCGTAGAAGAGCACGTTCACCAAATCCTATGGCCGAGCCCAAGTCTACATTGTTTTGTGATTTGAACTTTGAACAGTGAATCGTCGGGCTTTGGCTACTACAAACAATATGATATCATAAATATATGGAGGTTTCCTAAAATGGAGGTACACCAAATCGTCCAAGTCATGGATGACCATATTTCGTATTGAAACAAGCATGGTGACTTGGCGATCCCCAATGACTTGAGAAACCACCATATAGATAAACGACAAACAGGAGGATATAATCAGACATGGGTATATGTAGTTTTGTGAATGACCCATCTTCACAGGTGCACTAAGTGGATGATTCTTTGCGACTTCCAGTGGCGAGCAAGGTTGATGGGGATATGCTCCATCTGCGGACACAAACCATATGGGAAATCACAGGCTTTGACTTTGACCGTTTAGACACGTACTTGGATATCTTGGATGTGAATCCCTTAGTAAGTAGATTACAACTTCAATAACCCACAACTAAGTGGATTACGCCCCAGATTGTTGGTTGTCTCCGATTGTATCCTATATGTTTCCTCATACATGGCTGTCTCATTCCAGTTTTGGTTTCTGAGATTTCCACATATATATATATATGTGTGTACAGTACATGTCACACGGCCCATCAATCTGGAAAACCAAACATTACTATCGTCAACACATTGGTTAAAGGGAAAATATTAACTGGAAACCATGTTTTTTTCCAAAAAAAAACATAGGGGGGTTCCAAGTTCCATGGGTTTGGTGAAGAATTTCCCTTAAACCAATCCATTGAACCATGATTTCCAGATATAGTTCCATGTTAAATATGCTTAAAATCATGTTTAAGTCCATCATTTTTGATGTTAAATCTCAAAACAGCGACCCATTTTTTACCATGATTTAAACATTGTTTTTTAATGCTTAAATCCCAATATAAAACAATGACCAAATCCAGCCAACCATCTTTTTATATGGCTGGAGCGGCCAACCGCCCGGGCAACAGTTTGCGCCTGGTTGGCCTGGAGTTTGTCCAGTTCCGGCCAGTCCTGAAGTCGAAACCGCCGTTCAAGCTGTCAGCAGTTTGGGGGTATGAACTGGGAAATATGGGCTGGTAAATATATATATATATATATACGTATACATATACATATATATATATACGTATACATATATATATATATATATACACATATATTATAATATATATATACATATACATACAAATATGTATATACATATATATGATATACATAATGAACATATCTATTTATCAACCCCAAAAACTAGTAATCGAAGCTTTAGACAAGCATTGATAAACCGTTGCTGCTTTCAAGCCACTTTCCACTTAGTCAATCTGGGGGGTTATCATCCCAGGATGGATTGGAAAAGAAACACGATTGTTTTTGAAACTACCAACCATCAAACAAATTGTTGGATAGTAGATGGTTGACTGGAAGAGAGGTCCATTTTTTTCCAATCCAGGAATTCCAACTCTTATTATTAATTATCCATTCCAGATTTCAGCAACGGATAACAAAGAGTTGGAGGTTGATAAAAATAAGATGGGGTGTCTTCAAGAAGTGCTCGGCTCAAAATGGGCAGTAAACAAAATGGTTTTGACAAATTCATGAGGGGATACAAGAAACATCAAGAAACCAAGAACGATGATATCAACAAAAGCTGATGTACAGAATCATTGGGATTTTCACCTAAACTTGGGGGATTCAACCAAAGAGATCTCACCAGATATAGCGGGAACGAAAAACCAATGATTCCAAGCTGGTTGAAACGCTGGTTCCATGATTCCATGGCCATTCAGGATCACGGGATGCATTTCTGTATCCCACCCCGCCGTCTCCATTCACGGTACACGAATATACGTCAATGCGACATGTTGATCCATGTTTGTGATGAATGCTGACTTTTCAATGTGCATTTACACATGTAGGATATACATGGAAGCGGTAACAGTGAGAAAAACACCTTCCGCACTCAATTTCTGATCAGCGACAGCGACATCCAGCAGACCTCCTGATGGTACAGTATATGTGGCCAACACTGAAACATCGTTCCAAGTAGGGACATATCCATAACAAAATTGCCATCAGTTCTGCCTCCCATCTCCACAGCACCATTTTGCCAAAGCAAGCAGTTCTCAAGCTACGTATGGCCAACATGGGATATCCTACCAGGATACCCAATGTCTTATCATAGTTTTATCATCATGTTTCCCAGTCTACACACATCATTCCACACCAAAACAACATATGGGCAGTTATACAATTATCCAGTTTTATGCCAGTATATTCCAACAAATCTCCATGATCTCCAAGAACATCATGATTCGTGAGCTTTTATCTCATAGAACATATACTTGAATTCAATGTCCTCCATATATCCTCCATATATCGCCGCAATTTCCGTTGTTTCCGTTGTTTCCAACACCCGCAAAGGACCTTGATCTTGTTGTTCGAGATAAAGAGCGTGGTCAACTTCACCTTAAGGGTCCCAGCAATGAAACGACAACTGGGGATCGAATGGAGATATCGTGGGTGTATGATATAAGATGATATAAGTATATGGAGGTTTCCGAAGTCATGGGGCTACCCCCAAATCATCCAAGCCAAGGTTCTTGGGGATCGCCCGTTTGAAGAAACCGACCGGTGAACTTGAAAAAAATGTTCACAGTCACGTGCACAAAATTATTGTGACTGATATTGGGAGTACTGATATTGGGAGTACTGTGGGTAAAAAGAATTTCATAAACCACTCCCCTGAAACATCACCATTTTTATAGGTATTAGGTGGTATGTTGAACATTTCCAGTCATGGGTGGTTTATGCCATTGTTTTACATTACTGTACCAATGCATGGTTTCAGTATTAGCCTCTGGTAATGACTAACATAGCTATTGAACATGGCCATTTAGTTCGTTGATTTACCCATTAAAAATTGTGATTTTCCATAGTTATAGTGGAATTACCCATTAAAATGGTGATTTTCCATAGTTATAGTGGAATTACCCATTAAAAATGGTGATTTCCCATAGTTATAGTGGAATTACCCATTAAAAATTGTGATTTTCCATAGTTATAGTGGAATTACCTATTAAAAATTGTGATTTTCCATAGTTATAGTGGAATTACCCATTAAAAATTGTGATTTCCCATAGTTATAGTGGAATTGCCCATTAAAAATGGTGATTTCCCCAAGGTATAGTGGAATTACCCATTAAAAATTGTGATTTTCCATAGCTATAGTGGAATTACCCATTAAAAATGGTGATTTTCCATAGTTATAGTGGAATTACGCATTAAAAATGGAGTTATAGTCGAATTACCCATTAAAAAATTGTGATTTTCCATAGTTATAGTGGAATTACCCATTAAAAATTGTGATTTTCCATAGTTATAGTGGAATTACCCATTAAAAATGGTGATTTTCCATAGTTATAGTGGAATTACCCATTAAAAATTGTGATTTTCCATAGTTATAGTGGAATTACCCATTAAAAATGTGATTTTCCATAGTTATAGTGGAATTACCCATTAAAAATTGTGATTTTCCATAGTTATAGTGGAATTACCCATTAAAAATTGTGATTTTCCATAGTTATAGTGGAATTACCCATTAAAAATGGTGATTTTCCATAGTTATAGTGGAATTACCCATTAAAAATTGTGATTTTCCATAGTTATAGTGGAATTACCCATTAAAAATGGTGATTTTCCATAGTTATAGTGGAATTACCCATTAAAAATTGTGATTTTCCATAGTTATAGTGGAATTACCCATTAAAAATGGTGATTTTCCATAGTTATAGTGGAATTACCCATTAAAAATTGTGATTTTCCATAGTTATAGTGGAATTACCCATTAAAAATTGTGATTTTCCATAGTTATAGTGGAATTACCCATTAAAAATGGTGATTTTCCATAGTTATAGTGGAATTACCCATTAAAAATTGTGATTTTCCATAGTTATAGTGGAATTACCCATTAAAAATTGTGATTTTCCATAGTTATAGTGGAATTACCCATTAAAAATTGTGGTTTTCCATAGTTATAGTGGAATTACCCATTAAAAATTGTGATTTTCCATAGTTATAGTGGAATTACCCATTAAAAATGGTGATTTCCCATAGTTATAGTGGAATTACCCATTAAAAATTGTGATGTTCCATAGTTATAGTGGAATTACCCACTAAAAATGGTGATTTTCCATAGTTATAGTGGAATTACCCATAAAAAATGGTGATTTTCTATAGTTATAGTGCAATTACCAATTAAAAATGGTGATTTTCCATAGTTATAGTGAATTACCCATGAAAAATTGTGATTTTCCATAGTTATAGTGGAATTGACACCCATTAAAAATTGTGATTTTCCATAGTTATAGTGGAATTACCAATTAAAAATGGTGATTTTCCATAGTTATAGTGGAATTACCCATTAAAAATTGTGATTTTCCATAGTTCTGTAAACGTTTACCAAACGGTAGTGGTTGATTTACCTCCCGGGACTCCGGACGCAGGGAGCCAAGCCATCCAGGGTGGTGATCTGATTGTAGGAGATCCACAGTTCCCTGGAAAGCCATGGTTTTCCCCATCAAAAATAGGGGTTTCTCCGTCGTAAATGTTCCCTTCAACCAATCCAATGATATGGAATATATGGAGTTTCTTAGATCCAAATCGCGGCTTTCAGATGGTAGGTCTGGTAGCTTCTTATGGTCAAAATGGGTCTCTTTCACATAGACACTGGGGTGTCAAATAACAAATGATGGTGATCCAAATAGCTTCTAAGGACGTCCTTGGGATATTAGTTGTGTTGTCAAAGACCTTCATAGAAGATTTTGGATGCACAGCGTAGAATCATTCCAGCAAGTTATATTAATAAGGATACATGTCTTGAAAACAAAACAAAAGCTAACAGTGACATGGGCCACTTTGTTGCGCTTTGTGTCGAGGGTGAAGAAGATCGTGAAACACGGTTTGCCCATCTGCAACCGAAAGCATCCAATCCTATTGCCAGAGTTGTTTTATGTTGGCATGTGAATAACAACAATTTTTCCGTTATCATACGTGTTTCCCATGACCCGCTGAGTCCAAACGCCATGGACTGTTGACTCGATAGAACTCAAGCCCACAATCAAACGATGCAGAACCCACTGAGTTCCATGCTGATATGTATATATATATACACTATATGATACTATGTATATATATATATACTGTATATCTATATAATATATGACATGTTCAAGTTGTTGTGTTTTTGTTCCACCTGAAATCCAAGGCCAAGGAAATTAATAACAACAAACATAAGATGTTGACAGTAAACGTGTTTTTTTGTTTTAAATAGTAGACACCATCACCACCAAAGCAACTATGATGGAAATATACAAAATGTAATCAAATTGGAATATGTTATATAATTACTAAAAGCAAACTAAATAAAAATAGATATCGTCTTCATCAGCTTCATCCCTACAGAAAGCATTGACACTTCCCATCGCCTTCCCATCGCTATCCCGAGATCGATGCCTCAGTGTGGAGCCGATCTCTTCTAATCCCGAGATCTTCTTGATGAGGTTCCGACCCAGTGACAGCACCTTCGACAGATTTCATGGGAAAACGATCTGTGTTTATTTTATGGGAAAACGATATGGAAAAACCATGGGTGTTGAAAAAAATCAAAGTGTCTATAAATTGTGGTTTGCCCATATCTATGGGAAAATGTGTTGGATGGTAAGCTTGGCGTGAGGATTTCACCACAGTTCTGAAGCATTTTGAAAATAGGGATAGAACTTGATAGAACTAGTACAATATTGAGTTGGTTTGTATAACAAGCGGATTATTGAGTTGGTTGTATAATAACAAGTGGATTATTGAATTGGTTTATGTAAGGAGGAATTGCAGGACACTTTGGTTTTTGCCACTACAGAACAAGTTTCTTCGACCTTTCCCTCAAGTTAAGTTTGGGAATGGCCAATATTATACATGAACAAGACAACTCAAGGGTCGACAAAGGGGAAACAAATGGTTCAATCGGAATATACTCAAACACTCTAAAGGCAAAACCATCAAAGCGTCCAGTAACATATACATTTTCACGTTGATTCAACTTCGATGCCGGTCCATGCCGGTCCTAGTTCACCAAAAAGGTGCCTGGAACAGTCAAACATAAGATAACATAAGTTTAACATAAGTACGAGTACGGTCATACAGGATGGTGCTCCCCAGTTATAAGTTGGTTTACCATTCTAAACCCCATAAATACGAGTTCGTTATCTCTATAGCCACTTTTGTCAGGCAACTGAACGCTATCGACTCTATCTCCGCCCTGCCTCGATATTCTTCAGAGCTGGGAGGGAAATCATCTTGTCGATGCAGTTGGTCGACAAGGAAAGATGCCTCCCGCGGAGACTAGCACCTTTGGGGCTTACATTTATCTATTGATTTATTTATATCTATATTTACGCATATGTAGAATATAGCCCATACATATCCGTTCATATCCAGTCAATCATATCCATTGATACCAATGATATGGTGATGTTCCCACAATTGAACAGAACTATAGTACTATAGAAACCATGGCCCATCTACTTCGACGATTTATCCATTCAAATTATATATACATAATTGCGTTGTATTAATGGTGATTTTCAACAGCCCGTATATTATAGCTATTGTAAATTTTCACGGAGGGAACCATTCAGCTCCTGCAGGGCCCCCCAAGAAGGGCCTCACGTTCACCAGCTGATTCAGGGAACTGTCCATCTTCTCAATGGGCGGACTCATGCCTTCGGCTGCAGCTAGGCAGGGCCCTAGCTGCGGCGAATATGCCATATTTATCTTGAAAAAAAATAGGGAAAATTGAGACTCAAAGTATCCGTATTTTTTTGGGAACGGCTCTACAAACTTTGGAACCAGGCCATTCAAAGGGAAGTGACCCGGTTTTATCCCATACTTTCGGATCACTAATTAATTATTTCACAACCCTTGAAATGATAACCTTTTCAACACCTCAAAGGTAGCTACAACCTGCACTGCCAGGACAAATGAGGCCTAGCCGGCAAACAGAGATGGTTGTTTGTTACATTTTTTTTAATGGAACACAACCCCGACGACCATGTGAATTCATAATCCGAGCGGAGGATGTGAACCAACCGTTGGTGGTTACATTCCAAGGTCTTTGCTGACTAAAGATCGGGAATCAAAAAATGAATATGGTAATCGATACACTTTGTGTCAAACCACCCAACTATAATGTAGTATTGGTCATCACGCAAATTGATGAGGTTTAAAAAACATTGCATGTTAAAGTCCGTTCTTGTTCAAATACATTCCCTATTTTCTTTGCAAAAACATCTGTTGATTTTGTGAGATTTACATACTTTCAAAATCTTTCAAATACTTTCCAACATTGTGTCTTCACTAGATTTACTAGATCCCAGGAATGCTCTGAAGAATCCCTTCCTATTATCCTCTCCGAAAATTCAACATATTTCCGTTGAATTAGTTATACTCCTTCAATCCACTTTTTGGTCGAACATCGAGGCTTGGTTTCCAGACAGAGCAGCTTCACCACGTCCTCAGATCCCATGGAAGGCAATGGAGTTGATGTTCCGGCAGGGGATTTTATCCCCTGGTAACCGGCTATCTAATGGATTATATCCTTGGCTAATTCAAGATGTTTAATAGGTAGATCATCGAACTCAATGAACCATGTGGTTATGTCATTGTTAGTTTACTGGAGGGCAATCAACTTCCTGTACGCACTTGGCTAATTCATGCTAATTCCATGGTCTATCTATCCAAATATGGAATTTGAACAAAACTAAACATATTGCAATAATTGAAGGATCGATCCAATCAAATTTGGAATTTGGCTGACCAACCCTGAATTCAAACTACAATTTGAGGTGGTTTCAATGTTAATGGGGTCTAGTCAATGACATGTCTATGCGAATAGTGTCCGGTCAATGTCTCTTCCAACCAGCATCTAAATGGGTTGTGTTGGGGGGATGGTTGCTCATCCGCTCCCAGTCGTTGCAAAAAGTTGAGTATATAACTAGTCAGATTGCTCTCTCATTGCGCTCCCTAGCTGTCTGTTTGCTGCCTTCTCCCCCTCCTCCTCTTCCGCCTTAGAACTCATAATTGAAAAAAATCATCGAAATAATGGTCTCTCTGGGTTGGTTCCGATTGCATCTTCTGCGTTGGTTGTTTCTCTCTTCGCTTCTGCCTTTTCTCCGCGTCGCACTTTTCCGGCGCTTCAAAGTCCACTTCAATTTAGCCAGGCCTGCTCTGGAAAGGCCGTGCATCAACTTCATTCAATTTCTATCTAATGTGGGATTCAGCCAATGCCATAAACATCCATAAACCATCCCCGAAATAGTAGGTTTATTATTGGGTTTCCATCATTAGTTCTATCCCAATGCTCCATGGTGCTGGAATATTTACCAACATTCACGCCCAAAATGACCCAAATGTTGGTAAATACCCCGTACATCAGCATTTTTCAACCAAACAATTGGGTCACCATAGTCTAATATATTTCTACGTATTATACGTATATGTTTCTATAATATATTTCTCCAAAAATAGATATCGAATAGAATTCCAATATAGATCTCTATTAAATTGCTCCAAGCATCGTGTCCCAAAAATCCCATGGTCTTCCCCCGTTTGCCATCCGCTTCAGGCAGGCCAAGCTGCGGCTTCTTCCGGATTGGCACCCGCGTTCTTTTCCGACCAAAGCCTGGCTCTCCAAGGGAGTTTTGTTGCTGGTGGTCCCTCCCAAGGAACAAATAGAGTATGGAATAATAGTAAGACAACACAATACAATACAAAATAGAATTTAATACTAGTAGGGCCCGGGCAAGAGGGGTGACAGAGGTTATGAAGGGGGGAAGCCGAATGAAGAAAAGGGAGAGCCTATAGGAAGGAAACCCGACCGCCCGGTTGTCACGGCCGTTGACTGCATGATCTCTTGGATTTTTTGTCCTTGACCTTTCTCTCTCTCTCTCTCTCTCGACATCCTTTTCTGATGATGCCACTTTATCTTGATCCGGTTTGCCTTTGTCATCTCTGAATCTTGACAGTCCTTCCTGTTGCTTTCTGTTTGTCTGGACGTCTGTTTGTTTTTTTCTCTCGTGTTTCTTTTCCATCTTTTCTGATGTTGCAACGTTCTCTCGATCCGGTTTGCGCTTGTCATCTCTGAAACATGACAACTCTCCTGTTGACAGCTCTGGAGCCCGAGACCTGACACACTCGTAGTGATATCACAATCTTCAAGCTAAAAACCACCGGGTCCAACCAGGCACAACCATTGTTTTCAGTTTTCTAACTCTAACAAGTTCATGACATGGTGGCGCCCTGCGTTCCAGAAGTCCGCCCCCTCCCAAGTGGATCTTGCTGGCCAACCACCAAATCACGCGAGAAACGCCAGATTTCGTGCGATTCCTACTAACATCAGCTGGACGAAGCAATTCTACTGGGCGATCAGCGCCTTGCAAATCACAAAAGAACTGCGTCAACCAAGACTGCAAACACGAACCTGAAGCTGCCATTACAGTGCGATCTGCACCCCTGAATTCAACTTTACAGTGAAGGACGCGTCGGAGCGCAAGCGAACGCAAATGAGCGAAGACTGCATCGACGCCGGAAGCCACAAGGTTCCCCACATCGACGCCGGAAGCCACTTTGTGCCAAAAAAGCACAGGGTTTCGTTCGATTCCTCACCAGCTACATCAGCTGGACGAAGCAACTGCACTGCGAGCTGCAATCACAGCCTTGCAAACCACAATAGAGCTGCGTCAACTAAGCCTGCAAACATGAACATGATGAACATGATGAAGATGATGAAAATGATGTGGTGATGTGGTGATGTGGTGATGTGGTGATGTGGTGATGTGGTGATGTGGTGGTGATGTGGTGATGTGGTCATGTGGTGATGTTGTCATGTGGGGTTGTGGGTTGCGGTGATGCGGTGATGTGGTGATGTGGTGTGGTGATGGTGATGTGGTGATGGTGCTGTGGTGATGTGGTGATGTTGATGTGGTGGTGTGGTGGTGTGGTGGTGTGGTGGTGTGGTGGTGTGGTGATGTGGTGATGTGGTGATGTGGTGATTGATTTCTTCGCTACCACATTATCCGTATAACGGAGTTTAGACTTCTAAGCTTCCTTGGATAGTATGTTATGATATGTGATGTATAGAATATAGAATATATTGACATATACCCAATTCCAGGCCCAACAAACTTGGAGCGCCATGCCGGCCATTATAGTTTGCTTCAACATTCCAGGTAGGAGGTAGAGGAGCACGTGAGATTGAAATGACAAACCAGGCTGCAGTGGCCGGCTGCTAAGTGAAATGCTGCTATATACGTGAGGTTGCGGTTTCAAGACTATAACAACGCTTAAAATGTACACACTGGCCTGTTTCCTCATGTTTCCTCCAAACCAATCGGGGCTACTGCTTCTCGTTCACAATTTTCCCCGTGCGTCGAGTTATGATGTTTACTAAGATACCATTAAAAAAAGAAGTCAGCAGCTTCCAAGCATAATATGTGGATTGGTTTTCATGGTTGATTTCTGATTACAACAGCGTGTATCAGAATATTCAACCGTACTAAACCAGCCAGTAGAATTCCCTATATCTATAATAATAATATATATATATTGAATATATATATATATATACACATACATATATATATATATGCAAATATAGTATCTCCCAAAAAGATAGAAAAGTCGCTCCTCACTACTTTAGTTTCGGATTTCACTTTTTTTCTATCCTTTTAAGGTTACCATTTCATCTAGAGATACCTGGTGGTTGCGGCTCCAAACAACAAACTGCCCATGACCATCGCCCATCATCGCCGCCAAGCCGTAACGCGCCAGGCGGACTGAATCGCTTTCTGACAGTTGGTGCCGGGCATGGCGGAGAACTCCTCAACTGCTGATGGGATGTGTCACCATGTCGACATTTTTGTTGAGGGTTCTACCAGCAACACTTAAAAAGGTAGGTTTGAAACATGTCGAGACCAAGCATTGCATCAGGGATATGATGAGAATATAACTTGGGGATTTACAGTATCCATCAAACATTGGTTGAATACTTTTCAAACCAACCATAATGAGAATATTATGGAGGATGATATATATATATATATGTTATATGAAATATAACTTCGGATAAAACCAACCCCAAAACATTGTTCAATTGATTAACCTAAATAAAGAGGTAAACCACGGGTTACTTTTACTGGATATAGATACAGTTGGATGGATGCGACTTCTACCAACAAACATAACTTGGGGTACAACTGAAATCAACATATGGCCCACGGAGGGCTACGGTCAATATTTGGTATCTGGCTCCAAGTCATCAACTATTCGTGAGTGTGTTATCGTTTTCCAAGTTTGGGGTAAACATGCTCTTACTCCTTATATTCCTTATGTCCTATTATGTTCCAGTATGTTTGATTGTTTTCCACCGTATGGTTTCTGCAGATACTGATAAAAATTACAACAACATTGTCATACTGATCCTATGCGCAAACAAAAAGAACACATGTATATATATAGTTATAGATATGACATGTATGTATACATGCCTGTATACATGTATGTATGTATGTATGTATGTATGTATGTATGTATGTATGTAAATATGTATGTATGTATGTATGTATGTTTGTATGCATGCATGCATGTATGTTTGTATGCATGCATGCATGTATGTATGTATCTATCTATATCTATCTATTTTCTGTCTTTATACATCTATCTATCTATCTATCTATCTATCTAGCTATCGATCTATCTATCTGTCTGTATGCCTATCTATCTATCGATTTATCTATCTATGTATATATATATATATATGTATGTGTGTATCTGTATATCTATGTATCTATGTATCGATGTAGCTATGTAGCTATCTATCTCTCTATCTATCGATCTATCCATCGATTTTTCTATCTACCTGTGTATATATCTATCTATCTTTCTATCTACATATCTATCTTTCTATCTATCTATCTTTCTATCTATCTATCTATCGATCTTTCTATCTATCTATGCATGCATGCATGCACCTATGTATGCATGCATGTACACATGTATGTAAAATATTTGTTTGTATGTGTATATGTATAAATGTATATGTGTATATATGTACACACATATATATGTATATTTGTATATACGTATGTATATGTATGTATGTATATATGTATGTATGTATGTGTATATATGTATATATGTGTATATGTGTATATATGTGTATATGTATATATGTATATGTAAAAATAATGCATGTATGTATTTATATATATATAAATATGCATGTATATAAACATATATATATATACATACATTACATATCTGTATATATATATATGTATGTGTATGTTCATATGAAAATGCATATAAAAGTAAATATTTATGGATATATATATATATATATATGTTTATATATAAATGTCATGTCCATATATAAATATATATGCATGTGTATATGTGTATATGTGTATATATGTATATATGTATATATGTATGTATATATATATATATGTAAATATATATATAGATTAACATATATATATATATGCACATATGTATATGTATACGAATATATATATATATATTCGTATACATATACATATGTGTATATATATATGTATACATATATATATATGTAGGAAATTAAATTTATATATATATATATATTATACATATGTAATTGTATGTGTGTATATATATATATATGTAAATCATGTGTGTACATATTATACACTATAGGTCTTCATAAACATGTGTAATGTATGGAATTAAAAACCGTCATGATTTCTCCAGAAACCCTGCAACACAAGTGCTTCCTGGTCTGGGCATGAAACATCCTGCATCGTCCTGCCATTCATAGCTAGAAATTGGCCCAATACACTACCAATTACCAAGCCTTACCCAGAGGATGGCTGCTGGTCATGAACAAAACTAGCACAAGAAACACATATGACAGTTTCGAGGAACCATGGCCATGGTCTAAATATCCTCAACACATGCCCAAACAAATAGAACAGGGATTCGCTACTATGGTGATGACATTCCACTGGGTCTCCCAACTGCTGACCGGGTGAAAACGCCGCGGTTGGAACACTTTTCTCTGAGCAAAAACAACCACGGTGCCAGCGCCTTCGAATGCTATTAGGGGAGGCGAAAATAGAGCTAGAGTTCAACATGTCCTACAGTATTTGGTTCCTGGCATTGATGCCAGGTATGTCCCCATGGGATTTGTCCACTATGGTCCGAACTATTGCTGCATAGTATAGCAATATGTGGAATCTGTTCAACGGCTAAACCCTTCAGAATATGGTTTCCACCCTCTTCTTCACTTTAATTTTGCACAGCTTCCTCCTCCTCACCCCAATGCTTGTCCCATTGCTTCCAGATTTATCGAACTTGCGAACAGCCGGACGTGCGTTGGATTCTTTTTTTGTTAGTGGTTTCAGTTTCAAATCATTCAAGTCAAGGGGGGCCAAATGGCAATGCAATGGGCCAACACGCACATTTGCCACTGAAAAACAGTTTCCCCAGTTCACTCAAATATAGCTGGGTTGCCTGGCCAACAGTGTGTACAATCAGTCACTTGGCATTCATCATGCAAGGTGCAGTTGAATTATGAATATGTAAAAAAACAGTAATAACAGACCTAGTAACATATCTAATATTCAAATATATTTAATAAATAACATCTAGTTATATCTCATATATTCAAAAAAATACTAAATAGACACATCATGTTTCAATATGTTTCAATGATCAAAAACATCTAGTAACAAATGAAACAACCAACGAAGAACCAGATCTTAATGCCACTCACCTTCACAAAACCGCGCTTCCCGTGCAGGGCGGGGGTTCTTGGATCTCCTTCTGCCCTTCATCTCTTGGAACAGATTCATCCGGGCCTCAAGGGTGAGTTGTTGGGCCTGACAATCTTCGCCTCCACAAGTTGGGATATAACCACTATAACTATGGTATACTATGGTTATGCATTAGCTTTGAAGTGCAACAGCACCCCCTGTTGTATTTTTCAGCTGCATTGTGAAGTTGGTTCCATTTATGGCAACCATTTCCATGGATGGAAAACCATGGTGTCCTTGCTTCATTCCCATCAATCAGCGGAAAACTGTAATTCTCAAGGGGCAACATTCGGAAGACTTGTGAATCTTCGTACAGTAAATCATAGTAAATCCTAATATAGTACACCATAGCAAAATTTACCATAGATTTAACATAAATGGATGGTATAAACTATCAACATCATCAACAGATGGGTGGTTTCCTGAAATGGGGGTACCCCTACATCATCCATTTTAATAGGATTTTCCATTGTAAACCATCCATGTGGAGGTACCCTCATTTGTGGAAAAACCATATGGCTGGTTTATGGCATTGTTTTACGAACATTCGAAGCCCCGCAACGCCTTGTTGAGACCTTCGTTGCTTTGGAAGGACAACCTGATGAGACTGCGGTGCTTCCCAACAATGTGATCCTCGTGGCAAGTCAGATCCCGAGCCCAGAAAAATCATCGTTTTGGTGGCGTTAGATCTCGTTGTTGATTGCGATGTATATGGTCAAGTATGGAAAACATGGGATGATGGTGAAATTCCAGTGTTTGGCAGTTTGGTTTTGCATTGAATAGGGTCAGATCCGAACTGTGGTGATAAAGGTCGCCACTTTCTTTTCCGTGAGTGACGTGTCGCGTGTGTTGGGTCAACTGATGCGAATGTTGCGTATTGGTCATGTCCTCTCTGTATGCACGTCCCAGAAATGGCAACTGTAATGAAGAAAACGATGATCAACGCATATATTTAATTAGGTGCCCTATTTTGCCGGTGATGGTTTCATGGAAAAAACTATGATGTGGGAAAGATCATCATGTAATTTGGGGGTTCAACAATTTGCAGGGAAGACACGCCCATTTATGTTAAAAACAAAAACTGCCCAGCAAACCATCATCATCATCATTCATCATTCATCATTCATCAGTCATCATTGTCATCATTGTCATCATTGTCATCATTGTCATCATCGTCAACAGCAACATCAACGACATCAACAACATCAACAACATCAACAACAACAACAACAACAACAACAACAACAACAACAACAACAACAACAACAACAACATCCACATCAACAACAGCAGCAACAACAACATCATCAACAACAACAACAACATCAACAACATCAACAACATCATCATCAACAACATCAACATCAACAACATCAACATCAACAACATCAACATCAACAACAACACGAAACACGAAACACAAAACACGAAACACGTAACACATAGACAAACTAACCATCTCATTGATGTTGAATCGCACTTTGATGATGCACTGCCATCGTTGTTGTGTCCTCCAAGGCTAAATCCTCCTTCTCCACCAAGGTGGCGATCACCCCCTGGCCGCTCTGCAGCAGCGGGGGAAATCTGACCATGTGGTGCAGCTCAGTAATGGAGATTTCACCCATGTTTACCAATCAAAACCTGAGTTTGAACGGATTTAATTCAAACCAACCAAAAATGTGTTTGTCACATGTTGAACAGCAAACATATGATTTAAGCAACCACGATGGAGTTTTGAACCAACCAACATGGCGCTAGAAACATCCCTAGAATGGCTAATGATGGCATGGGTTATGAAAAGGAAATGCAAAAAAATGCCCTCTGGAAATTTGTCCCCTCAGCCTGGGTGGAGGGTACATGAGGAAACTCGAAGAGATGATTCCCGTTACGTTTGTAATTCACTGGTGAAGATGTATTTGGCAAACAGAAGACACACCAAAGTGCTTGCAGGAATTAATTGTAAGGCATCCTTTTTCATGGTCACTATTTATAGTCTCTAGACTCTAGATCAAGAGCATTTCTAGGGTCTCCCATGGTGACTCCAAAACCAGTCGGTTTCCTGAGCAATGAAGAATCTTCGTGGTTTTGATGGCTCCCTCCAGTATTGGACGCTGGGAATTCCCAATGGCACCCAAATCTCTGGTCTCTCATTCTGGGAGCTTTGCATTACAGAAAACAAGGTCTCAAAAAGCAAAGGAAACTTGCAACCACCAAGGCAAATCAACTGAATGGCACCTTTCTCCCATTGAAATTGCAAAACATCGAACCAGAAAAACAAATGCCATTCACATTGTCATTTGTGGTGTATTGCAAAAGCAGCAGTTCTAAGATCTTGCTCACCCCAACTACATGTATAATCATGTATATAGATGTATTATCATCCAAAAAAAACTAACTGAGGATTCCTCCCCTCTGGTAAACGTATATATCGCGAACTGGAAAATCACCATGTTATAGCTGGGTAAATCAACTATTTCGATGCCCATGTTCAAAAGTTATCTAACAGTTCGATATCCATTAAATCATCATGAATCACCATTGTTAACTATCATTAACCATTATTTACCATCATTAACCATGGTTAACCATCATTAACCATCATTAACAAGTAATATCCCATGAATCATGAACCATTGTTAACCATTGGGATTATTAACCGAGGAAAATCCCCATGATCGCGTGCTCCCTGTGCTCCGCCTCCGCCTCAAAGCGTTGCTGCAGGATGTCCCGCATGGATTCCAGGCCTGGCAGCTGATGAAAAGATGGCAGGGATCTCAGGGATGTCAAACCATTATATATATGGAGGAAATAACTCCCATTTCACTGTTGAATTTCTGGTGGTTATATCATATATCGAACTAGTCAATGGCTGGTTGGTGGTATACGTACCCCTCTGAAAAATATGAAAGTCAGTTGGGATGATGACATTTAAAAAATGTTCCAAACCACCAACCATATATATATATAATATGGAGGACATATGAACCACTCTCAACTATGACAGATTCATCATTTTTTAACATTATTAACTATGAAACAACTGTTGGCTAGCTGTTAAACACATGTTTTAAGTGATTAATCACAGTTGGGAAGTGGGTTATAATATGTTGTAACATGTTGTAATACTCGCTTTTCTCATGGGATAAGTAGGCTTAGCCCAAGAAGAACTGGGGTGAACCTACTTACTAAATGGCATGAACATGGATGAACCACGAAGTAACTATTGACTTGGTAATTTAGTATACGAAGCAGGCTTATTTGTACGGAGATTTATGATAAAAGGATGGAGAATTATTTTGGGATTTGTTTTCTGCGTTTTGGGATTTTTTTTGGATTCTGTCTTGCGGGGCGTGTTGTTTGCTTGTTCCATGGCGACAACCGGTGTATTCCTTGGCTTCCATTCATTTTCCAGACTTTTAAAACGTTTTTTGGGTGTTCAGTTTGCTTTTCACCGGTTTTTTTTGGCTTTGAACGATTTTGTTTTGTTCTTGCCGTTTTTGGACGTGTTTCCCGCGACTTGCATACATGTGATCACTAGCGGCATGGACGGTTCTGTGTTGTTTGCCGTTGTATTCATCGTGCATCGACTGTGTTAAGCAAACAGACATGATAGATAGATAGATAGATAGATAGATAGATAGACAGATAGATAGATAGATAGATCGATACATACATAGATAAATAAATAGCTCATGTTACTGTTGTTACTGCTGCGTGATTCTTTTGTCTTTGCTTATGTCGGGGCAAATTCTCGGGAAGACACGCAGACGAAAAAGAGCTGACAATCAGGATGGGGTAGCAGAAGGTGATTACACAAAGCGCATCGCGCGTCATTTTTGCACCGGCGCAGTTTCTCATGGACGTTCGGAAGCATCTTTGGCTTTGTCACCTGGGCAAAAGCCGGGAGAAAGCCAAGGCATTGATTTTCGCAAGCAATGGCTGCAGGAACCTGGCCTCTCTTTTGGGTGGAAGCACCATTGGCGTTGTGACCTCGGCAATGGTAAGAACAAAAGAGGCTACGAAAAGAGCTAAAGGGTTGCAGCAACAGCATTGCATCTGATGTAAGAAGTTGGCCCGGCGGGCGCGCAAAGGGATACCTCAGCAGCAGGGTTCAGCAAGCACAAAGAAATACAACAAGAACCGCTGACAGAAATAGCTTACGAAGTGAATGAGGGCCCGGCTCCAAACGAGGACGGTTAGAAAGCCAGCATCACTTAGGCGATCATACGCACGTCG